CATTGTGAAAGTAATTGAAGGTTTTGTTCAGCGTTTGACTGAATATTTAATGAAAGGATAACTATGGGCAACTGTCACGACCAAAAATACAAGGATTTTAAAATAGATCAGCAAATGCAAAGCTGGTCTAAGGATCAGCTGCAGGATAGCATAGCTAATAAAGGAATGGTATGGCCAAATTATAGACGGTTTAGTTTTCCTTCATGAAAACCACCAAAAATACAAACTGCAAATAGATCAGAGATCTGCTGGGGGGCACGACGTCATCGAATGTAGGTTTAAACATTCAGGCTAACCGACGCGTGCAAACTGTGTAAACCATAGTAGAATTCAGTCATTATTTCAGTTAACTCTTTCACGAACGACAACGAATAACTACAATATCGGCAGGAAAAAAAGATAAAAAACCTACCAACTGAAAAAGTTACAAATTGGCTGAAGTGAAGTGAAGACTCTTCAACACAGGGACTACACAAAGTGATGGTTTCGCGCCAATCTTTACATTCGATGACGTCATGCCTCCCAGTAGATCTCTGTTCTATTTGCGGTTTGTCTTTTTGGTGGTTTCGGCGAGATAGCCTTCACGTCACGCCACAAGCAAGCTCGACGATTCGCCACAACTTCGAAATATTTCATGTCATGCTAAGTAATTTAATGCTCACTAATGCTAGAGCGTCTGATATTCTGCAAAGCCATTCGACGTAACGCTACACCATTTTTGTGTACGCTGTACCATTCGACATTAGGCTGAGCCATTTCAAGCAACGCTACACTGTTTGTATGTACTTTGTATGTACACTGTACCATTCTACATTACGCTGAGCCAATTCACGCAACACTACACCGTTTGTATGTGTGCTGTGCTATTCGAAATTGCGCTAAGCCATTTCACGCAACGCCACAATGTATGTGTGTACTCAGTACCACTGGACATTAAGCTGAGCCATTTGACATAACGCTACACCGTTTGCGTACTGGATTGCAAATGAGGGCTAAGCTATTCGCAATTGAGCTAGTCCATTTCAAAATTTCATGTTCTAACTCGACATGGACAACTAGACCGTTTATCATTTGGCTAAACTATTCATGTTTAGAATGTTCTGTTTCGTGATGGAAAACTGAATCCTTAAACCAGCTTTGTATTTGCTGATCTATTTGACATACTTGTATTTTTGGTGGTGACGGCGGCCCAAAGACAATGATAACTCGTTTGAATATGGCCTTGTGGAAAAAAACAAATATTATATTGGATTCAAATTGGGCCTGCTGTCAGCGAAGGTGTTTTCTAGCCAATTCAGGCCATAATTGCAGTGGGCCTTATGCGTCGATGAAATCGAAGCTTGAACATTTGACTGTCGTCTGTACCCTGAGGTGGGAAATTTGAACCTCGTCTGGGTGCAAAGCTTCCAGTTGATGGTGCATAATTAATAAGAAAGAGTAAGGTTGTGTATAAGGTCGCAGCACACGATGGGAAGGGTAGGTGTAATACCATCGAAGATATACTGTGTTCTGATTGGCTGTCATGGCAAGATCGGCCCTCTCAGTTCGAAAGTTTGCTTTGATCGCCAAAATGTCTCTTGAAGGGACATATTAAAAGGACAAGTACGCAAACGAAGAAAAAGAACAATTCAAAAGTAGGCATACCAGACTTTTGAGTTGGTTTCTTAGAGATTTTGGAGGAAGACGAAGGGATGAATAGGAAAGACGAGCACGACGAAGACAACTCGAGTCGAGAACTAGAAAATTTCATCGCCGCCGAAAGGTTGTCACATTGTGAAAATTACGAGTATTTAGGCAATTGAGAAATAGCATTAATTTTTTTGAGTTAGCGCAGTTTACCGAAGAAAAGGAAGCATATCGCTTTTGTTTATGATTTATAGCTTTTTTATTTTCTGATCATCTGCAAAGATCTTAGGTTCCTTTGAATGATAGGCATTTCTTTATTTCATTTTTGCAATTTTTACAGGCATAATTAATCCCGTGTTTTAGTAAAACTTTCATCGACCAATCAAACTCAACTTAGAAATGCTTAATGCCGTCAACTCAAAATTAATCAATCATGGTGTCCCTCAGGGCACTATTAAAGGACTTTAGTGTTCCTACTGTATATCAATGACCTGCCAAATTGGTTTTTTTTTTCACAACCTAGAATGTATGCAGATGACAGCCTAACCTTTGCCACTGCAGATTTAAGACTATCGTTGACTTTCTTTAATGACTGATTTAAATAGGATATACCCATCGCTATCACCTAATAAACTGACCCTTAACTTAACGAAAATCGAGTTTAGATTAAGTGTGTCCAGCTAGAGGCCCAGAAATTCCATCTTGCATGATCAACAACCATCCAGTAATGCATGTTTCATCTTCGAAGTTAGTTGAGGTGCATGTTGACCACTTGAAACTTTAACTAGGAATGTCACAATGACATAAAGAGTATTTGTAAAAAGATTGACTCTGTTTTGGGTGCAATTCAAAGAAAACGGCATCTTATTCATTTTAATGTTTTGTTAGATGTGTAGAATAATACTTAAATCCGAACACATTTCCATTATTGTAATGTTGTTTGGGGAAACTGTGGTATTGGCCCTTCTGAGTGAGCTGCAGAAGCTCCAGAATCGTACAGCTTGTTATTTGGAAGCATTTCCATGATTGTGTTTCGCTATGGTCATTTGAACTAGCACTTTCAGATTTTGGAAAACTTTCACTTTTAAAAAAGAAGCCAAGTGTGATATTTTGTTGTTACAGTTATTTTTAGTTACATCAAGATTGAAATCGGTTTCACCTTCACACAAAAAAACAAATAACACTTAGATAAATGACCCCGAGCCTCGTGGGTACCCCTTTAATAATTTGAGTACATATTCGCAAATTGATACAGATTAGCTTTTTTTAATTATTAATGATTGATATACTTGTGTTACATAGACTCTCGAACAACACATTCTTAACAACACACGACTTATAAAAATATCATACGGAATACCTCAACTGCTCTTCACCAACTACATTACCATTACCTTACCCACAAGAGAGATCATTACGCCAAAGGTCACAAAATCATTTATAATAGATAAGTTATCATAAAGCCATTATCAATACATTAATTTTGACTACCCCCTTTTCTTTTCATTCCATTTCTATCATTTTTCTTTAGTTTAACTTACAATAATCCTTGACTTGAGTATAGTAGGAAGATATAAACAGAAACATCAGTTACAGTCAAGAGAATAACATCTGTTGACATTCTCTTGTACAATACATTACTTGTTTTGTCTCAAAAGTTACGATATGATCATTATTAACAATACTCTAAGGTATAATTTATAATGCACTTTCAAACAAATGAGAAACAGAGACTCTACGGTAAACTAGGGCAACTGACGAGGCTCATATATGGTCCCACCCCATAAAACCCTGTTTTTGGTGACAGAAGCTGTATTTCATCTGATTTAGTACCTATAGAAAAAACCTGCATCCGAAAAAATTTGACCTTTCCCTGGTAGTGAACTGTCAGGCATAATATTAGCATTGGAATTTTGAAATATTTTGTTAGACCGATCTGGAATTTTCATCTGCGAACATCTTGAAACAAATGGATCTTTTTCGAACAATTTCATGGTGTCTTGTTTAGTTTATTTTACCTTCTCTCCGACCGCAATACGAGAAGTTCTTGGCCAGTTCTGGTTTTCTTTTGAGAACGGATCGAAGGCGTTCTCAATACGGCGACGAGCTACAAAATGTTGCCAATAATGGAAATAACCATTGGGGGAGCATTTAGGACACTGTTTAGGACAAGTATGGGTTCAGGACTTTTATCTTTCCCGAAAAAGTATCTTTCAATTGAATCAGCCATTCTTGCTCCTCTCACTTTTCTTCACTTGAATTTGTAACACTGTCTTCTTGCCTAACTGCTCTTAATTGGAGCCGCCTCAGAGCGTCACCAAGCTCTTTTGACATATAAGCTGTATTTCTATCTGCCCTCTTTTATTCGTTAAGGTCCTCGTAAAAATTGAATTCAAATTGGTGGCCAAAAACTTATCTTTCGTGAGTGCTGGGATGATCCTCTCTACATTATAATGGGTATTGGTCCGTCAATAACAATTTCCGTTATAATATATTCAGTATAATATATTCAAGGTAAAATCATGCAAAAATTATTTACGAAACACATTATGAAAAGTTATAATGTTGTGGGCTGTTATCGATAACGACTTCATTTTGGTTAAAAATCCATTAGTTTTTACACAATTTGTTGAAGTTCATGATTCTGATAATACTCTTTTTGTTCCCAGCCATAACTGTGTTGGATGAAAAAAGCTTGAACATATTCACGAGAAACTGACAAGCATATTGAAAATTAAAACGTTTGAGATGAAGCATTGATATTTGATGGCCAATTAAGTAGAGGAGAGATCGGCGAACCAGTTGAATTGGTTGCGCAAATAGTGAAAGACGGCCCGAATGGGTTAAATTGCCGATATAAGGCATGGCCGGCGAAAGTATTGATGGAGTCCCGACACGCAAACTGAACCTTTTCGTTTTATGCGACATCTGGCAAAGGTATCTTTGGCTTAATTACTATTCATTCATTTAAAATCGGTGGACTCTATCTCTATTGTAAGTCAGGTTGTCGTCAATATGGTCAGGCGCTGTTAGAAACTATTGGAGTTGGACGGGAAGATAGAGGTTATGCTTAAAAGAACAGAAATATGATTAAGAACACTCGACAAGCGAATGAATATCAATCTTCTATTGTCGATATCTAGACTTTTTAATGTTTGTTTTAAATGTTTGAAAATTAGACATGATGAATTAAGACGAGTGGTCACTTGAATCAAGAGACAATTCCGAGAGCTATTATCCAGGTAAAAGGAAGTTTTTTACGTAAATAACAGCGGTTATAAGTACTCTTTAACGCGGTGGCGTCAGGCGTTCTTTCTAGGTAGTTTAGGAGTAGTTTCCAGCATCAAAAGTCATTATATTTACGAAGCACTTTT